CTTTCTTCTTCAATTTGTCGTTCTTGGCATAGTGGACCATATGGTTGGTTGTCTGATTCAAAATGGCCCAAACCAGTCCATTTCAGTTCCCTAATGCTTACGATGTTGATCTTTATGCATTCCACTTCATTTTCGACAAATTCCAATTTTCCTAGATTCATACTTTGTACATCCCACGTTCTGATTAATAGATGTTTGCAGCTGCTTCTTCCCACATATGATCGTATGGAATCCCAGACACTTTCTAGGATGCTATAAATAAGGAACAGCATGCTCAACTCTCAAAGAAAAGGCATGGTGGCTCATTTTGGTTCTAAGAGTGGTTACAAGTGATCTGACTTGTCTCGAAGGCAGCACTAGATGCTGAGAAGATGAGCCCGTGTGAATGCTGGCAACTGCTCTTGCCAGTGCATGATCTCCACATCTGCATATAAGCACTGGGCTCTGTGCCCCTGGGTTTGGCTACAGGACACTTCACACACGTATTGGTCAGTGCCATCTATAAATCCTAACAGCGATGATCCTGACGGTACTTTAACGCCTTGCCCATGGTTAACTGGTGTCAGCAGCAGCATTGACGATGGTGTCTGCGAACAGAGTGGTGTGCAGGCCTCCACAATGCCTCCACGTGCGTCCCTGTAGCATGGTCAGCTGAGTCTGCAGCCTCTCAACGATTCCCGGCAATGCGCTAGCTGCACACAGGCCAGATCATGCCTGCATTCCCAACAAGGGGGCAGTGAGCTGTGTCTCAGCTCCACAGAGAGGACAGGCCCGGCCCCTGAGCAATCTGGCTCCTTCTCTCTTTCCAGGGAGACAAAGTCACAACCATCCCTCATGAGTAATACTGATTGTTGCAGAAAACACTGCTGTGGGGAGCAGTAGCCATGGGGACAGGTAGCCGTGGGGACAGATAGCTGTGGAGAGTGGCATCTGTGGGGAGCAGCATTCATGGGGAGAGGCGGCTGTGGGGAGTGGGGACAGGCATCCATGGGGAGAGGTGGCCGTGGGGAGACATGGCTGTGGGTGGGGCCGTGGAGACCCTACTGCAGCCAGGGGACCTCTGACCTGGCCGAGGATGTGAGGTTCCTCTGTGGGCTTTCAGTTTAGTTACATTTAATTATTATTCAAAAGGCCCATTTCCTAACATCTTAAAATAATAGCTTTATCTGTGACAGAATTTGAGCAACATAACAGGTGAACTCACCAAGCTCCAGACTACACACTAGACATTACAGTAGCAGCCATGAGTTCTCACCTTTACTGACGTATTCATCCAGTTTTACAATTTTTTATGGCAAGAGCTTGATGCGGAACTACAAGCTGTCGCTCGCTCTCCTCCTTCCTCATTGCCCATGCCCATGCCCATCCGGTGCCCTCCACTCCATCTGCCACTAGTCACACTGGAGCTGTACAGCTGCACCTGCATCGCTGCGACCTGCACAATCAGAACCCAGGAGCTTCCTCATCTAAGGAGCAGGAGGAGGACTGGGACTCTGCTCATCTTTGGTGTGCATCTGACTGCTTTCACTCACTCTATGTCCATGCTGCCTGGACTCACTCTGCATCCTCCGTCATCAACATTTTATTGAGATATAACCCACACGTCATAATAGCCACTCACTTACAGTGTATAGTCAATGGTTCAGTATACTCAGAGTTGGGCAACCATCACTACAATCCATTTTTCTTTTCTTTTTAAATTTTTACTGTGATTTGGGTGAAAGTTTACAGAGCAAATCATTTTGCATACAGCAGTTCATACAAATTCAGTTTCACAACACTGACTGCAATGTGTACAAAGTAACAGCTCTCTTCCCACTTTCTCCCTGTGTCCTTCTGTCCTATGCATTCCTGCCCCCTGAGCTATCTCCTTGTGCAAACACCGCCCTTCTGTTTTACCACGATTGATCGATCTAAGAAGTATATCTACCTGACGTAAATGTTCACCTTATATGCCTATCTATTGTTTGGCTGGAAGCCACACAACTGAGTTCAGTACCACAGCTTAAAGGTAACTAGGAGCCATAGCCTCGGGGGTCTCACCAAGCTCCATCAGACTAGCAAACTTGGTCTTTTTTTTTTATGATTTTGAGTTTTGTTCTACACTGTTCTCCCACCCTATCCAGGATCTCCTGCATCGATTCCTTTTGGAGTAGACGACATTAGTAGCCAGGCACCATCTAGTTCTGGTCTCACGGTCATATAGGGTGAGGACCCACACGGTCTAGTAGTCCCTTGCACTAACTGTCTCCATGTGTCTTTGGTTGTCTCCATTCTTTTCTGCTCTGGATGAGGAGAGACCCATTGTTGCATCTAAAAGGCCACTTTTAAGTTTTTAAGACCCTGGTTGCTACTCACCAAAGTAGGATGTGGTAGTTAAAGGTTATGTGTTGGCTGGACCTGGTTTTGAGTGGCTGGGCAGCTGGCTGTGGTTATTGCCCATGATGAGACTGGTGAACAACTCCATGGTGGAATCCATGTGAGCAGCTCCATGTGAGCAGCTGAGTAGCTACCTTAGGGATGTGGTCTGCTTCCACTATATAAGGAGAAGCTTTCAGAGGGTCTACAGCTTATTAGCATGCTTGATACTTGCACGTAGCTGAGTCTTCATTCGGCAGCCTGTCATGTTCTGCCGATCTTGGGACTTTTAATGGACTTGAATCAGTGGCCTGTTGTGTGGTCTGTTAACATCAGGACTGTGACTTTTTGCTTGTCGACCTTAGGTTTGTCAGTCTCAGCAGCTAGAAGCTGTCCGAGTAAAGAGATGCCTCTAGCTTCAGTGGGCCAAGAGCAGGAGGCAGAGCTGAAGGTTGAGGGGCTTTCACCCACTCCTTAGAGCCCGGCACTTTGAACTTGGACTTCTAGCCTCCCAAACTGTAAGAGAATGCTCGTTAAAGCCATCCATTTGTGGTCTATTCCTGTCAAAGTGGCACTAGGGAACCAGAACAGATGCAGAACAATGTTTGTGTGTATATATTATGCCAACTGAGCTTGATGTCCCCTGCGACCACGGTTCCGAGCCCACAGGTCCAAGCACTCACTCGCTCAGGGTGACTGGCTGTGGCCAGGAAGTTACCATTACTCCTTGTTAGCTCTATTCCGTATCTGGACATTCTTACAGCATATACTAATACGTGTGTAGAAATATCATCTACCAACCTTATATATGGTTATGGGCATATTCTCTTTTCCCTAGACGTATCTGATCATTCAGCCTGTCTACCCATCTACTTCCATAATCAATTTTAACACATTTTGTTCCCCTCATGGGTAGCTCCCTACTCTTGGGCAATCACCCCATCTCCATCTCCCCCAGCCCTAAGTAACAGCTGACTTGTCTCTCTAGTGACCTGCCTGCTGGGGACATTCCCTATAAATGGCCGTTTGCGTGTGGCTGCTTTCACTCAGCAGAATGGAGCCAGTCTTTCCCTGATGAGGTGTCTATCAGAACCATCGTTCATTCTTGAACACTATTCCACCAAATGGATTACCCATCCATAAGAGAAGGGCACTGCTGCTTCTAGTGTGCAGCAGTAATGAATAAAGGACAAGCTGCTGTGTGGACCTACACTTTGTAGCTCTTGGATATATACCTGGGAGTGGAACTGCAGGAGCCCATGGTAATCTCCAGAAAACTACCAGATGATTTTCCCAAGTGGCTGCACCACTGTACATTCTCACTAGCAATACGTGAGGACAAATCTCTGCACATCATTGCCAATGTTTGCATTATAATCTGACTTTCTGATTAGAAGCAGCTTGTCCTTAGGTTCTACTGAATTAAGTTAGACACCTAGTGACCCCCAGTAGAACTGCCCCATAGGGTTTCATAGGCTGTTATCTTTACGGAAGCAGGTCTTTTTCCTGCAGAGCCGCTGGGTGGGTGTGAACCCTTGACCTCGGTCAGCTGTCAAGCACTTAACTGCTGCACTACTGGGGGCTTCCTATCACCTCAGTGTGTGTGCAGCTGCCTTTTTTCCCGGACTGTGATGCCGGGATGGTACAGTAAAGCGGCCACCGGGACCACTAGACACCTGTCTTTAAAATGTTCAGCTGGATTGCTCTTTGTAGCTTGGATTGAGGGGGTTTAGAAACTTAGTTGTTGTTGTGTTGTTTACAGGACCCAATGCCAGGAAGTCGTTGAAGACTGTTTCCGTACCTGCCTGCACAGTGCTGACTCCTTTCCATAGCCCCCAGAAGAAGCTGAGGGGACGAAGTGTCTGAGAAAACTATCTGTAAACTACCCCAAGCCTGTGCAGCCACTGGGCTCTTTTGTTATGGACTTGACCAACCTCCAGTCCAATCATGGAAAGGAACAGATGACTCGCCTCTTGTGGTTCAAGTGCTTCCATTCCCACCTCACACGGACTCTGAGGTTCTCTGGTCTCAATTCTCTTTTGCAATAAGCACATTAGATGGAAGTTCTGGCAAAGTCTTTTAATAAGCACACCTGACTCCTTGCAACGAGAAAACTGCATGATGGGGCCGGCAGCAAGTCGCATGTCACCACACACTTACTAAAACTCTGACTCAGTCAGAAACTGGCCAGTGACATCTGCTGACTTTCCTGTCAGCAGCTTGAAGGCACCTGGGTTACGTGGATCCCCTCAGATGTTACAGACCCCTTTCATCCCTGCCACTCCTCCCC